CCCCCCTCTCCCCCCCCCCCGCCAGCCCCCAGGTTTGGGCTCCACCTGGATGTATATCTGGAATTTTCTCTCCCAAAGACCAAGAGGGGGAGCTGTGTATATTTTGCTTTAATTATTCTTTTGTAATGGCGACTTAAGTAATTAACTAATGAAGCACTTTAAGGGCCCAGCTCCTCAGGTTGGGCAGGGGGCACCTCAGAGGCCTGGGCCCCCTTTCCCTCCCCCTCCCCCCTGGAGCCCCCTCTGCTGTCTCCTGGAGTGGGGAGGGGGCGTCTTTCCCCCTCCCCAGGCAGAGGCCCTGTCTGCTTTGGTCCCCCCTCCCCACCTCCCTCCCTCCATCCCGGCTAGGCTTGGGGTGCTTCCACGGGGGCTTCCCTGGGGGCCCCCGCTTGCCACTTGATTCTCTTGTGCAGTTTGCTTGCATTTGTATATAACCCCCTCCCCAACTTCTCTGTGGAAAAGGGAAAACCCCCCCAACCCTTCCCCCCCCCCCAGGGATCAGTGGTGGCCTTGGCATTTCATCTCTTGATAAAGAACCAAAATCCTCCCTCTGCGGCTCCGGGTCTTTCTCTGCTGCGGGGGATGGTGGGGAGGGGTCTTGGGAGGGGGGGAGGCGGCTGCACAGGCCTTGAGAGAGGAGGAGGAGGGGGGAGCAGCCCTGGAGGTTGGGCCGGGGGGGTCTGCAGGCCCTGTGAGGACAGCAGGCTGAGAGCAGGATCGTGATGGGGGGGGGGGCTCCTTTCAATCGTCCAAATGGCAGCTGACCCAAGACTCTCGGCCCTTGACTGGAGCGGCAGCCATCTTTGGCCTGGGAGGGGGGGGGCACTGCCCTTTCTCCCCAGAGACCGACGGGGGAAGAAGAGGCCGATGTGGACAGGCAGGTCTTGCGAGGCAAACTGCTTTTATTCCAACTGGATGCAGAGGAAGAGACCCCTGCCCGTTGCCCCCTCCCCTCCCTACCCAGGCACCCTTGCCCGCACCCTTGCCCAGCTGTGCCCTTCTGCTGCCCAAAGAGGGTGGCATCCTGCTCTCCACCCCCACTTCTTTGGGGGAGCCCTGGGCCCCTGTCTGGCACTTGGTCCCAGGCTGAAAGCGGGGGGCTTCCACAGGCCCCTGGCTGTTCCAGGAGGCCCAGTGTGCAGGCCTGGAAGTATCCACTGAGCTCCTTTGGAAGGCTCCTGTGCACCCCATGCAAGAATCCGCCCCCCCAAACAATAGGAGCCCCCTAAAGGCCTGTTGGTTTAGGGTTTTCCCTCCTTGGAGGGACTTGGCTGCTTGGCTGATGGCTAGCGCCCTCTGGTGGCAGCAAAGTTGATGACTCCACTTCTAGGTGGGGTTGGTGCCCGCGTCTTTGGGGTCTCCTGCCCAGGCCTCTCGGGGCAAGGCAGCAGGGAGGGGGTCAGGTGGCGTGGGGAAGGGAGGCCACGGGAAAAGGATGTGGGTCTCGTGGGCAGCCATAGCAGGGCAGCTTCACCCCAGGGCATTGGGAGAAGACAAGGGAATGTTGCAAAAACACCACACACACACCAGGCTCTGGCCCCCCTTTTCTCTGGGGGGGAACCTCTTGGGTTGCTAGGGGCAGCAAAGGTTTTGGATGCTTCTGAGCCATCAGCTGGGAGGGGGTCTGGGGAGGGGCCTAGTCCCAGCCAGGGTACAGGGTCTTCCCCAATCACCGGATCTCACAACCACTGTGGCCTTGCCAGAGTTGGGGCAGGGACTTTGCCCCCACCCCCCTGACCAGGCCTTCAGGGAGAGGCTGGAAAAATGGACCCTCCCCAACTCCTCAGCAGCCCCTGAATGTCTGCAGAGACCGAAGGGCTGCTAAGGATGAGGCCGGCAGAGTCCCCAGCTCCAGAGGGACCCCTGCGCACCCCCACCACCTCCCTGGTGCGTGCACTGGCAACGATGACCCCTCTGGGGTTGCCCAAAGCAAGAGGGCAGAAAAACACAGTCCTCCTCCTCCTAACCACTGGGAGGTCTGGGACCTTGGTGGGGGCAGAACCGTCACTCAGGGCAGCTGACTGGATCCATCGCCAGGAAGAGGAAGCCCCTACCTCCCCTTGTTGGATGGAATCCCCACGGGGTGCAAGCAGCCTGGTCAAGCTGCCCCCTTTAAGGGGCACCGGGCCTTCTGACCTTCCGGGTCGAAGGGCCCTTACAAAGAGGCCGCGGCGTATTTCACCCTCACGGCCCCCAGCGTGTCCTTCCCTCTGTCCAAGCTGTAGGAGGACAGCCTGGCCTGCATCCGGGCCCATTTTCCGGCAGAGCCAGGCAGGCTGACCAGCAGCCAGGAGACGTGGCGGGAAGGGCCCACTTGGAACGTCTTGCAGACGCGGTAGATCCGAGGCCCGGAGGTGCGACGTGGGGGGGCTTCGGCCAACTTCAGCTGCCATCCTTTGGGGGAGGCTTCCTGCCACTGCTGGGTCTGGGCCAGACAGGACCCCGGAGCTCCTCGCACAGCCGGGCGGTCCCAACCGAGAGAGAGCCAGCCCAGCCAGCAGAGCAGGGCCAGGGTCGGCAGGGCCACCAACGCCAAGCAGGCAAGGTAGAGCACCAGGCGCAGGAGGCAGCAGGAGCCAGCCAGCCACTCTGCCTTGGACCCCTGATGAGCAGCCACTCCGAGAACCCTGACAGGCAGGATGGGGCAGAGACAGTGGGCAGAGGCCTTGGGGGCAGAAAACCCGCGGGTGGAAAGGGGAGCAGAAATCCTGGCTGAGCTTTGGACATGGGTGGGGGTGGGGGTGGGAGGGACCAGGGCTGCAGTGCTCGGAGGATGCCCGGCTGCCGTGGTTGCTGGTGGAGGGGCACTCGAGGGAAGCGGGGTGGTGAGCATTGAGGCCGTGGGGCTGAGAGCAGGAGGGTTGGAGGAGGTTGCCATTGTGGTAGGGACACCAGAGGTTGGGGTGTGGGCGGTTGAGGGTCCTGGGGTCGTCATGGGGCCATTAGAAGTTGCCCTTGACTTCCCTGCAGTGGCAGCACTGGTGGAAAGGCCGAAAGCGGCAAAGGCTGCGGTTGTGGTGAGGGGACGGAGAGCAGTGGTGGGACCAGGGCTGCTGGTGGTAGGGCAGTGTGTCGTCATAGAACTAAGCGCTGGAGTGCCGCTTGTGGTTGTGAGAGCGGCCCCACTTGGGCTGACGGCTGTGCTTGGGCTGGGCGAGGAGCGCCTGGAGGCAGTGGGCGTCGAAGGGGGAGGGGTCAGAGAGGGACTCCAGCTATCCTCCGCAGGGCCTCCCTCGACTTCCACCTCCGGGTCCTCGTCTCCGAGTTTCCTGCAGACGGTTGTGAAATTCATGACGGCCTGGCCCTTCACCTGGGGGGGTCCGTGGCAGAGGACTTTCTCGGGCTCGTTCTCCATCACCTCCTTGTCCATGCCCTCCTCCTGCACGTTCATGCGAGTGTACACGAAGATCTCGTTATCCTTGATCCACTCGCGCAGGTAGTCCAGCCGGCAGTCGCACAGCCAGGGGTTCTCCACCAGGTGGACGTAGGCATACTCGTTGTCCGGGAAGAAGTTCTGTGGCACACGCTCCAGCCGGTTCCTCTCCAACCCCAGAATCGCCAGCTTCTCCAGCTTGTCCAGCAGCTGCGGGGGCAGGGCTTCCAGGCGGTTGTCCGACAGGTCCAGATCCCCCAACACCTGCAGGCCGTGGAAGACTCCGACAGGCAGGCTCTGCAGCTGGTTGCCCTGCAATTCCAGGTCCTGCAGCCGCCCCAGGCCACGGAAGGCCCCCTCAGGCAGCTGGGAGAGCCGGTTGTGCCCCAATGCCAAGCGTTTCAGGTTGGGCAGCCCCAGGAAAGCGGGCAGGCTCTCCAGGCTGTTATGGGACAGAAGCAGCTTCTCGAGTTTGGGCAGGGTGGCGCCGGTCTCTAGGACTTTCAGGCTGTTGTTGGAGAGGTCCAGCTTCCACAGCAGAGGCAGGTGCTGGAAGGAGGCCAGGGCAACCTTGGCCAGCTGGTTGGAGGCGAGGAGCAGGATGCCTGTGTCCTCCGGCAGCCCGCCGGGGATGTTGGTCAGCCCCTTTTCCACACAGCTCACCTGCAGCAGGTCCTCGATGTTGTTCATCTCGGAGGTGCACTGCTCGGGGAGAGGCGCGGCTGCCACCACAGCGACCCAGGCAGCCAGGAGGAGGGGCGGCAGCAGACCCTGCAGCATCTGTGGGAAAGAGGCCACAAGGGGGGGGGGGGTAGGATAAGCATGCGAGCCACGGCTACATGGACACGCTGGGAATTGTGCTGACCGGCTGCAGCGGTTGACCTAGAAGCTTTCCCCTGCATCCCTCTGACCTCCGCTTGGAGGGAGAAGAGCCCGGCAGAATGACTCCCCACATCCTGGGAAGATCCTTCGCAGCCGCGGTCCCCATTCCCCAGGCTGTGGACCAGTACTGGTCC